CCTAGTTTTTGACTGGCATGAGTAAAGACATAAAAGAGACTTGAGAAAGGGGCTGGGACTGTAGCTCAGTAGCAGAGCACTTGCCTAGCATGCATGAAGCACTGGGTTTAATCCTCAGCACCACATACAAAATAAATTTTTTTTAAAAAAGGCATTCTGCCCATCTATAACTACAAAAATTAAAAAAAAAAATCAAGAAGAGCAGAAACTTTTGGGGGAAAGTGAGAACAGAGGCACTGAAAGATTGGGATTCTATATGAAACTGCTTATGTATCAAGCATAAAGCCAGAAGGAATTCTGGAGTAAGAGGAGCACAATGGAAATGTCTCAGATATTACTCTGGTAATTTTATGCATATGTGAAAAAAGACCAATTAGAAGTATGATTTTTAAAAAAAGAGTTGGACTACACCTGTAGCATTTCAAATAATTGCAAGTTTATGGGAAGAGGGATGTAGATTCTGAAATCACTTAAACAGCCTAAATAACAATGGCCAGGGGTATAGCTCAGTGGCAGAGCACTTGCTCAGCATGCACAATAAAAAACAGAAATGTCATAAAGAGTAAGCATGAAGAAAGAACAAAGAACCAAAAACTGAAGCCATGGGATACCTTGAAGAAGAACCTCTTAAACAGACTAATCCAGTTTCAATCCATTAGAATTTAACCAGCGACTTTGTTCTTTCAGTGAAACAGAATAGAAACATGAAAGTAGCTGGGTGGGTGGTGCCTGTAATCCCCACTACTATAGAAGTTGAAGCAGGAGGACAGCAAATACAAGCCCAGCTTGTTCAACCTACGCTGTTGCAAAATAAAAACCTGGGGATATAGTTCCATGTTAGAGCACCCCTGAGATAAATCCCTAGTACTACCAAAAAGGAGGGGGGTCCAAAATATTTCACATAATGATTTATGAAACTTTTGGTGTCATACAGTTCATTGTGTATACTGGCTCACAATGTAACTTTTTGGTGGGTTAATAAGCTTGAAAAATCACTGACTAGAATAAAGAGAATGAATACCAGGTGTCTTGACTGTAAAAGGTATTGAAAGCCAGGCATGCTGACATACACCTATAATCCCAGTGACTTGTGAGTTTGGGGCAGGAAGATCACAAGTTTGAGACCAATCTGCACAATTAAGCAAGACCCTTTCTTTAAAAAAAAAAAAAAACTTAAGGGCTGGGGTTATAGCTCAGCAGTAGACCACTTGCCTAGCATATGCTGGGTTCGATTCTCAGAACCACATAATAAATAAAAATAAAAGTAGTGTATCCAACTACAATGAAAAAATCTTTAAAAAATAAAACTTAAAAACGTGTTGGCATGTGTAGCTCAGTGGTAGAACACCCACGGGTTCAAACCCCAGTACCAAAAAAAGATATTGGAGATAGAAGAATTTCAGCATCTTTATTTTTACCTATCATTCATTCATCTCTTTCCCTGAATGTAATAAAACAACCTGCAATTCCTTGGTTTAACCTAATAACAGAAGAATGAACAGCATCATAAAAATTCAAGATTTTTTTTTTTTTGGTACTGGGGATTGAACCCAGGGACACTCAAATCACTAAATCCCCAGCCCCTTTTTTATGGTTTGTTTTTTCTTAATTTTGAGAAAAGTTCTCATTAAATTACTGAGTGTAGCCTCAAACTTATGACTTTCCTGCCTCAGTCTCCCAAATTGTTGGTATTATAGCATGTGACACCATGATCAGCAGAAACTCAATAATTAAGTGAATAAACAGATAAAAGTAGAAATCACTTTTGCAACAAGCTGACCAAGGGAGCTTGCAATTAAAGAACAATGCTCAATGGCCTCAAGGAATAAGAGAACTTAGTGCTTTCAAAGAACTTAAAGTAAATGAGGTTAGAATATAGAAATAAATAAAACAGCCTCAAATAAGACTGGCAGAAACAACAGGTGTCAGTACATTGAAGACAAAACTTGACAATATAGTCTGATGAAGATTTCCACCAGCTATGAATTCTACATCACCCTTGAAGTACCACTGTTGACAACTTAGCCCAAATGCTTCTAGAGTTTGCTTTATGAATTTTAATTTGGCCATAAACTTCTCAGTAAGTAATCTGGAATAAATATTATTAACAACTTACTCCAATGCCAGACATTATTCTAAACACTTTATGTTTTTAATTCCTTTAGTCCTTCTAATCATTATTATCCCCATGGACTATATAAAGCAATTAAGTAAAGTGATTTGCCTAATGCCACACAACTAGTAGCCAAAAGGATTTGAACCCAGGCAGTCTAGTATGAGTCTGCATTCTCAAATACTGCTGACACAAACAAGCTTTTCACATTTGCGAATTACAGTTATATGGGATAGCCTGACATGACAAATGTCAAAATTAACATTCAGAGTTAACAGGCTAGGCCATGCAAGGTAGTGCAAGACTCTAATCACAGCAGCTCAGGAGGCTGAGACAGGATTGCAAGTTCAACGCCAGTCTCAGAAATTAGTGAGGCCCTAAGCAACTGTCTCTAAGTAAAAAACAAAAAAGGGCTGGGGATGTAGCTCAATGGTTAAGCACCCCTGGATTCATCCCTGGTACCAAAAAAAAAGGAATAGTTAATAGGCCAGAAAGCTAGTAAGTAATTACTGAGAAAGAAGAGCCTGTTAGGGTAGAAATATATATTACATTTGAGGTTAGCCTGGACAATTTAGGAAGACACAGTCAAAAAGGGCTGGGACATGATCACAGTGACAACACCTATAATCTCAGCGACTCAGGGAAGCTGAGGCAGAAGGATTCCAAGTAGAAGATCAGCCTAAGCAATAAGAAACTTTCTCAAAATTGGGTGGTGGTGGTGGTGGGGGGGGGTGCTAGGGATGTAGGTTGGTGGTAAAGTACCCTGGGTTCAATCTGGAGAGGAAAAAAATATGAATTACAGAACCCAGGCATGATGGAGCACATGGGAGGCAGAGGCAGGAAAATCACAAATAGTAGCCAGCTTAGGCTACATAGCAAGACCCAGCCTCACCAGATGCAGTGGTGTATACCTGTAATCCCAGCAATTTGGGAAGCTGAGGCAAAAAGGATCACAAATTTGTTTCTGTTTTTTTTAAAAACGGAGAGAGAGAATTTCAATATTTTGTTTTTTGTTTTTTTTTTAGTTTTCGGCGGACACAACATCTTTGTTTGTATGTGGTGCTGAGGATCAAACCTGGGCCGCACGCATGCCTGGCGAGCACGCTACAGCTTGAGCCACATCCCCAGCCGGAGGATCACAAATTTGAAGTCAGCCACAGCAAGGCTCTAAGCAATTTAGCAAGACCCTCAAATTTTAAAAATTTGAAAAATAGTTGGGGATGTACCCCAGTGGTAAAGAATCCTTGGATCTAACCCCCCCCCAAAAAAAATACCGTCTCAAATAGTTTTAAGGGACAGGGACATAGCTCAGTGCTAGAGCACCCCTGGGTTCAATCCAGAAAGAAGGCAAAAAGGAGGAGGAAAGAAAGGAAGAGAAGAAAGATATCAATTACCAGAGAAAATGAAAACGTGCCAGTGCAGGCCTGTAATCCCTATCACATAGAAGGCTGAGACAGGAGGATCACAAGTTCAAAGTCGTCCTCAGCAGTTTTGCCAGGCCTTGTCTCAAAATACAAAATAAAAAAGACTGGGGATGTAGCTCAGCGGTAAAGCATTTCTGGATTCGAACACAAATTAAAAAAAAAAAAAAAAAGATGGAAAAGAATCTCACTTTAGATTATGAAAACATACTACTACTTTTTAAAAAATATTTATTGTAGTTGGACACAATATCTTTATTTTATTTATTTTTACGTGGTGCTGAGGATCAAACCTATGGCTTCTCACATGCTAGGCAAGCACTCTACCGCTGAGCCACAATCCCCATACTTTTTAAAAGAACTTTCATTACAGTCCCCCTTTGTGGTACACAATTGAGGCATATCCCCATTTTATAAAATGAGAACAAACTTATTTTCCCAAAATCATACAGTAAAATAAGTGTTAAAAACCAAGATCTGGGGCTGGGGTTGTGGCTCAGAGGTAAAGCGCTCACCTAGCATGCGTGAGGCACTGGGTTCGATCCTCAGCACCACATAAAATAAATAAAAGATTGCATCAACCTATAACCTTAAAAAAAAAAAAAAAAGGCAATATGACATCTAAACTTCTTTGGAGGATACTCGATGAACACGCTTAGCTTGCCCAAGGCTTTAAGGCTTTAAGTTTTATTCCGTTGAGACAAATAAATGATGGTAAAAACTAAATAAAAATGTATTAAATTAATTGGTCCAGGCAGTATTCGAGGTAGATAGAAACAGATGACAGCAGAAATCCTTTAACGAAATTAAAGATTAAGTCCTTAGCAATAAAAGGTTGGACAACCTAGGCTACAGTAACTACCTTTCTCCTTTGGGATGTAGGAGGCTGCGATAGACGATCTCGCCTCACTTGAGTTGATTTTATATTAGGTAATCTTGGTAAACAAATGGAATCAAGGACGTGAGAGTCAAGAAAGTGGGAGTGGGAGTCAAGAAAAGCAAAAGAAAATTGGTATTGCAACACAGAATGTGAAACCAGAGACTGCCTACTAGGTGAACCATCCTTCAACTCTTTCTCCATCCTCCCTAAATCCCACGGAGACCCAGCTTATAAGTCTACCTGTTCCAAACTACCTTGACGGTTTCCAGACTGGCCCCTTCCAACACCACAATGAGCCTACGACCTCCACTCTTGCTTCCTGCCCCGAGTCGAGGCCTCTTAGGAGCCACAGCATCCCAGTCCTGCTCCTGCTCGCCAAAGCGCAGCTCACGAGGTTGGAACTCATCACTGGGCGCGGCCATCTTTACAGCCAGCCCGGAAGTCGTGCTAACGTCTTTAACTAGCACCTTGAGCTCGTCAGAATCGCAAACTTCCTGCCGGATGCCATTTTGAAAGTGGGCGCTCAGAAACGGCGAGGGCTTGAAGTCCGGGTCAGCAGGGTTCCAAAAAGGGGAGGAGCTTCCGGATGCGTGATTCCTGTGCGCGAAGTTCGGGTCGGCTGTAAGCAAAAGGGGAGGGTTTAGAAGAGAGCGCACTTCCGGTGCCCTTTCTCCCGCGAGCTCTTCTGCTCCGGGCCCTCGTGTGCTGGTTGTGATCTCCAAACTGGAGTGGGGTAGTGACAGGCGGGCACCCCCTCCTGACCTCCGGTGCTGCCGCCCTCAGAATCAGATATGGCCCAGAATTTGAAGGACTTAGCGGGACGCTTGCCCGCCGGGCCCCGGGGCATGGGCACGGCTTTGAAGCTGCTGCTGGGGGCCGGCGCCTTGGCCTACGGCGTCCGAGAATCCGTGTTCACTGGTGAGCAGCTTCCTCCCGCTCGCTGGAATCCTTGCCCCTGTCCTGGCTCTCCAGCTGTCCACATTCACCTAGCTCCCTCACCCTGCCTCACCTGAACCAGGCACGTACTCTGAGCAGCGGCCTAGTCCCATTCCTATCCCTCTCTCCACAGTGGAAGGCGGGCACAGAGCCATCTTCTTTAATCGGATCGGTGGCGTACAGCAGGACACCATCCTGGCCGAGGGCCTTCATTTCAGGTAATGGTGAGCAGAGCACACTAACCCTTCACCCTTGACACGACCCACCAAGGACTAGTAGGACTTGCATCAGGATTCAGCACTGCTCTTTCCCTTAATCACCCCAGGACAGTGTTGGCTGCCAATACTCTAGCAACACATAAACTATTCTGTTGAGAGAAGGAGCAAGCCACAACAGTGAGGGGAAACCAATGAAACTTCAGTTTCCTAATTCCTATCCCTGTCCTCTTCCCTTCAGGATTCCCTGGTTCCAATACCCCATTATATATGACATTCGGGCCAGACCCCGAAAAATCTCCTCCCCTACAGGCTCCAAAGGTAAGTGTGGGCAACTGGAAGTCACATGGCAGAAGATATAACTAAAGTGAACCGGGAGGCTGCGAGATGGTAGTGTGGGTGGGGTCTTTTAGGCCTTGGTTTCCACATCTGCAAAAGTGCCTGCCTCCTGGGGCTAAAGCAGTACATTCCAACACGTAGGATGTTTGCATGTTTTTCTTTTTATTAATATCTGTTACGTAAACTTACGAACTTTGTCCCATTTTTTCATAGTGCCTAAGTCAAAGCCTTTTATTAAAGCATTTTCTTATTTTTTTGACTTATTAATTATATCCAGTTACATTTACTGATATGCTCTGTCCTGAAGAAGTATGACTTCTCTCTTTACAGACTACTTAGTTAGAAGCTGTGCCTTTGAGATTCTGCTGGCCCCTGCCTCATTCAGAGAGAGACACATTTTAAGTGTGTATCACTTATTCATTCACTAAGCCCTGGGAATAAGATTCTTAAAACAATCCTTATCAATTCTTAATAGTCTAGTAAAAAGAGACAGTTTATCACGATCCTGCATGATAAACTACCTTAAGAGGTTGCTCAAGATTCAATGGTAAAAGTAGAAGTAAGCTTTACTAATGGAGGAGTTGTAGGTCCCCAGTGGACAAGTATGCACTTCACATGTGCTATGTAGCATCTTCCTTCACAACTTTATTATTCTGCCCCAGGAAAGTGCTAGGCTGTATACTAGGCATAGATGCAAGCACATGGAAAAGAAAATGTTTGAGGGGAGGGTTGACGTTGACCAACCATTGCTGACCTCTCCCTCAGACCTGCAGATGGTGAACATCTCCCTGCGTGTGCTGTCTCGACCCAATGCCCAAGAGCTCCCCAGCATGTATCAGCGCCTCGGGCTAGACTACGAGGAGCGAGTATTACCATCCATTGTCAACGAGGTGCTCAAGAGTGTGGTGGCCAAGTTCAATGCATCACAGCTGATCACCCAGCGGGCTCAGGTCTGGCTCCCATCACCATCTGCATGGTGGCAGCATTTCCCTCCCAGACCCAGAGTACTAGGGACCATGAAAAACATCTTACTAGAATCTAGTTCCATATCCACATAAAAGCTATACTAGTTGCCACTGTAGGATATAGAACTCAGTAGCAATCAGTGTTATGAAGGAAGCATAGGAGGAAATAATGTGTTGTGTTGCAGGTTTGCCTGGCAAGAAGCTAAGGAGACACTTATATTGGAGAGTGAAGGTTTAGGAGTCATTGTGACCTGGGACAATCATATTACCTCTGGGAGGCCATCTAATCTATCAAATGAATAGATTGAACCAAGTCTTTCCAATTCAAGTGTTCTACTGAGTGTCTAAAGAACTGAGAGTAGGCCAATTGCCATCCCAGATCATCTGGTATTTAAATGGGCACAGCAGTACAGCCTTCCTTCCAGTTCTTCAGTCCTCTCAACACCCCTTCATTCCCATCCCCACCACTGCCTCCAGGTATCCCTGTTGATCCGCAGGGAGCTGACAGAAAGGGCCAAGGATTTCAGCCTTATCTTGGATGATGTAGCCATCACGGAGCTGAGCTTTAGCCGGGAGTACACAGCTGCTGTAGAAGCCAAACAAGTGGGTGAGTCACAAGAGGAATGGGTCAGGGGCTTCTGAAAACAGAAACCAGACAGATCTATCCAAGGTTGGGAATCCTTACCTCACTGTGACCCTCTGACTTTCTCACCACAGCCCAGCAGGAAGCCCAGCGGGCCCAGTTCTTGGTGGAAAAGGCAAAACAGGAACAACGGCAGAAGATTGTGCAGGCTGAGGGTGAAGCAGAGGCTGCCAAGATGATATCCTTGGCCTGACCCCAGGCACCCTGCTTTCCCCATCCTTCCTCAAGGGCTGGCTGATGAGAATAAGGCGAATGTGATTTTGTGCTCTCTGACCCTTGGCTCCTGGGGGGCTAGGTACAGATGGGATCTGAAATCTTGGTGGGGAAACCTGAGTCCTGGCTCCCTGCCGTAAGGCCAGATCAAGAGCACTGCTGGCCTTGCCCTCATGTCTGTTGCTGCCCCAAGTTCCTGGCAGTAGCCTACAGGGAGGCCCACAGGTAGGGGCCAAAGATGGGATGGGCACCAGCCATGTGAGCACAACCTTGGATCTGACAGCCCAGAGGAGGACTAGCATGAGAGTAGTAAAGATGGGGCCAGGGATTGAGATCTCATTTTGTGTGGACACTTAACCCTTCTTTGCTCACCTTGGAGAAGCACTGAGCAAGAATCCTGGCTACATCAAGCTTCGTAAGATACGGGCTGCCCAGAACATCTCCAAGACGGTAAGTGTGAGTCCTGCATCTCATTCAGGTTTCTACTCAAACTGATTTCTCTTGACACTTAATTGCCCACAGCTTCCCTGATCTTCTATTCATTCCTGTTACAGTATTAGTACATCATAGTCATTGCTCATTGCTATATCTCTGTCCCAGCCACACATGTTCCATTTAGTAGCTGTTGAATCACAAAGACAGGAGTCTTTACTAATGCCCCCATTTGTCTTTCTTGCTGCCCTGCAGATCGCCACATCACAAAATCGTATCTATCTCACAGCTGATAACCTTGTGTTGAACCTACAGGATGAAAGTTTTACCCGGTAAGAATAGGGCTGCACAGTGTGATGTCACAGAGAACATGGGGCTTGAGTCTGGGGTTCCTTGGGCTCTGGAGCCTATTACAGCTACTTGTGACTCTTGATACTTTTTCAAAATTAGAAAAGGGGGTGGCTGGCCAGGTACAGTGGCACATGCCTGCGACTCAGCTACTCAAGAGACTGACTCAGGATTGCAGGTTCTAGGATAGCAAGATGCTATCTCAAATTTTTTAAAATACATCCAAAGAGCTGGGGATATGGCTCAATAGAGAGCCCCTGGGTTTAATATCCAGTACCACGAGAAAAGTGAGGGGGTTGGTAGTTCCTTTCTTACCCATAGAATTGATCTTATGAGATCATTTGTGAAAAAGGCACTTTGATTGTAAAGCACAGATGATATTCAGTGTTAAGAATTCTCAAACAGCTGCTCTGGTACATGGAAATGTGTAAGGAAAGGAAAGAGCAGAGAACAGTCTTCCATGAGCCTGAGATCCTAACCTCTACCCAATTTGTGGTCTGCTTTGGGGAGCAAAGGGTTTGGAGCTGACTGGGGTCTGAAGTCATTAAATCACATGCATTTCTCTTTTTCTCTGTTGTCTTGTTTACCTCATGGTCTGTTGTCCACAGAGGAAGGTAAGTTGTTGCTGTGTCCTTATTTTTGGGGGGTTCTGCAGTTCATCTTCTCCCAGTACCTGCCCTACTACCCACTAACTAGCCCTACTACCTCCCCTAAGTCACCACCCTCCCCCCAGACCCTCAATCAGGAGAGGTGGGAATGACCTGGAATATTCTGCATCTCACATTTATGTCTCCAGTAATGTCATTCATCTGTCCCATTTTTCCAGTGACAGCCTCATCAAGGGTAAGAAATGAGCCTGATGAGAAGAACTCTACCCCAGGGAGGAAGCAGATGTATTTCTCCTCCAGTTTTTGAGGAACCAGCTAGGGGTCCAGCATACCCCAACCCCAATATCATGTGATGGTCCCCTCTGCACCCATCCTCTTGAGCCCTCTTGGATTAAGGAAGACTGAAGACCAGCCCTTCTTAGGGGAATGACTTTCTTTCTCCCTGTGTTGGCCAGGGGGTTTGGGACAGTGTGTGATTTCTCAGTGATTTCCTACAGTGTTGTTCCCTCCCTCAGGTGGGAGGAGATAACCACCATACCAGGAATTCTCAATAAATTTTTATTACTTAAGCCAAAATTAAGGCTTTAGGTGTCTGCGTCATGTGGGAGGGAAGCAAATGTATCCAATCATGCCTGTGCTCCACGTTCTTATCTGCCAGCAGAGGGCGCAAGGAGTCTGGCCTAGGCTCTCCAAACCCACCCATCTGCTCTAAAAGAGGATCAAAGCTGGGAGCAGCAGGCCTCATATCCAGAGGCCCAGCTACACCCACTACCCCGCCCTCCATGTCTACCACACCACCCCCATTTATTTATCAACATCTCCTTTTTTAAGGCTAGAGCAGCTGTGGTTTTGCTGAGCCAAACTAAAAATCTGATGACCCCAAGGGGAGCTGCTTCCTTGGTAACAGACCTCTGTGGAATTGTGAGGAGATCATGAGTACCAACAAGGGACCTCAGCAACATTCAAAAGCCCAGTGGGGTTGTGTTGCCTGCTGTGGGCTACCTACAACTTTGAATTTTATAAGGTGTGAGGTGCAATTTGCAGAAAAATCCTGACCTATAAAGGTGGGCTTCCCACTCCTGCAGCTCTGGAACCCCATCAGAAAAGCAGCCCGGTTTTAATCCATTGAGAAGCTGTCTCACATTTCCCAAGACAGCCTTCACTGGATCTCAAGCACCAATAAAATGAAGTCTGCTTATTATACCTAATCCCACTATATTTGTACTCTTGTCCTTTGTCCTTTTGGAGGACAACACTGGGGATAAAGGAATGACAAGAGCTGGGGATGTGGCTCAAGCGGTAGCGCGCTCGCCTGGCATGCATGCAGCCTGGGTTCGATCCTCAGCACCACATACAAACAAAGATGTTGTGTCCACCGAAAACTAAAAGAATAAATAAATATTTAAAAAAAAAAAAAAAAAGGAATGACAAGATGCATAGTAGAGGAGAAAGTAAACTTTAATAGGGTCAAAAGGGGCAGGTCTTCAGCCTTTAGGGTTTTGAAAGAAGTAGACAATTTCTCCATGCCCTGAGGGTTAAATGTGAGAAAGGAAAGGGAGGTGAAGCCACTCTCCCTAAGGTAAGATTTACGGATAAAAGGTCAAGGGAGGAGCTGATGTGGCTCAGTGATAGAATGCCTAACATGCAGGAGGCACTGAGTTCAATTCTCAGCACCATATAAGTGTAAAATAAAGACACTGTTACCACCTAAAACTTAAGAATAAAAATTTTTCTAAAAAAGATTCAAAAAAAAAAGGTCAAGGGACCTGGATTAGTCATCCACCTGTTACCATTCACACTTCATTTCTTTCAAGTTCCCAAAGTGGGAGGACAATGGAGGTACCTGGGGAATGGGGAATAAGTATGTTTCCAAATTTTGCTGCTGCACCAGGGGCAGCCATTTTGTTTCCCTTTCCATTGTTCTCCTTTTCCTAGTCATTTACACCCTCATCAAAAGGGGAAAAATTCACAGCTTGTCAATCAGGAGGCCTCCATGGTCTTCAGAGCTCCAGGAAAGTCATTGCTGAAGGAACCAACCCGGGGGCCATCTTTACCAGACAGTGTTAGGAGCTTCACAAAGACCATCCAACACTGTACTGGAAGATGGACCCAGAGCCGGCCAACATGGAACTCCAGGCTACAGTTGACCAGTTGCTACAGGGACCCTGGCTGCAAGCCTGCGGAGGCCTCCTGAGAGACCAAGAGCCAATCCCAAGCTCAAGGTCAGCAGTGAGTGCTGGATAACACATTGGGATTGGACAAGGGCTGGAGCCATTGTGTTCCCTCAGTGGGCAATCAGCCAACCAAGAGCCACCCCTCCTGCAGCACCCTCAGCTCAAGACATGGGGCTTCCAGGTTATGTGGATGGGGGTGGGGTCACAACCAGCTGCACCCCCAACCCCCCACCCCCACCCCACCCCGACCTGAGAGGATGGATGGATGGGAACGAACATAGGGTCAGGGGCCTCCATCATTACCCGGCAGTATTAGAGACTCCCAACCACCCAAACACTGCTGGGTAAGACGAGGGCCCCCACCCAGCGTGCCCACCTCCAGTCATCAGGCCCAGCCCCACACGCTCTGCTGAGAAGCTACAGATCCCTGGTTCCCATCCCCCCACTACTCGTGTCCCTGGGGATACTTCCGGGTGAGCCCTGCTGCCCACCACTAGCCCCACCCTGAGTGGTTAAGATTGCCAGGGCCCCGGCAGGACCTCAGCAGCCCCTTGTCCTTCTGTTCTCCGCTTCTGAGCCCCTTCCTCTGCCACCCTTACAGCCTGTCCCTGCCCCCAACACACCCCAATTCACTGGCCCTCAGCCCCCACTCTACAGTTTTAACTCAGTCCCAGGACCCCTTGCCTGGTGGCTTTTACCTGTCACCAGGCCCGCCTGCCCCCTAGAATGTGGGTGCCGAGGAGAGAAGAAGAAGGAGCGTCAAAGCCCCGATTCAAGGCCCTAGAGCCAGCCCTGGCTTCCACTCTTCCTTCTTCCTTCTCTGCCTGCCAAGCAGCACCAGCGCCTCACCTGGGCCCCGCCCGCCGCCCTGCGCACAGGTGTGTCCTCCTGCCATAGGCTGCCCCCCTCACCGTCTTAACTCCTTCTCTCCCAGCATCAGCCACAGTCACCTCCTCTGAGGCCTGGCCACCCACTAGGCCTTTCACTCTGGCTCGGTGGCCTGTTTCCTCCTACCTGCCTATTCTCTCCCCAGTCTCCAAGGGAATAAAGGAAGAAACTTTCCTTAAGTCCTCTCTCCACCATGGCTACACCTTCAGGCCTATTCCCCTCCTCTGAGGCCTCTGACCCTGCCTGCCCACAGCCAGACCTGGAGGACTAGAATCCCTGAGGTCAGTGAGGGGTCAGCTCAGCAGGGTTTGGGCTGTGCCCCAGTGCAGTGCTGGCCTCAGCTGGGCAACCCCTGAGGGAGAGGGGAGAGAGGAGACCCTGTCCAGCCTGTGAAAGGAAGGCAGGTCCCGGCAGGTGCCTCCAAGTCTTCACCCCTGGTGTTGGGGTTCCAGCCCCACTAGAGGACCCAGCTGGCCTGACCTTTTTGATTAACGCATAGAGCTGTTTTCCAGCAGTCCTGGGAGGAGGAATATTCATGCTGCACTCATTCTCACAGACCCACCTCACAGCGAAGCCAGAGTCCAAGTCCCGAACCAAGGGCAGTTAGCCCAGGGGCGGTTTAGAGGGGTGGGACTTGCCTTTCTTCGGTGCTGCTCAGGCGTTGCTGGGCACAGGGCCCTGAGGCCCACAGGTAATGGCCCCACCCACCTACCCCCTGGAGGACCACAGCTCCAGGGAGCTATTGTGTGGCTCAGTCGCTGAGCCAGGTCTGCTCTCTTTGTTGTGCAGCCTCCTCCTCCGCACCTGCCAGTAATTATTTGGTTTGTGAACTACTTCAAGATTTGTCTCCCTGACTAACCTCCTGAGTTCCAGAGGTCAGAAACCGTCATGTCACCATCATCCCCAGAGAACTGGTTCTGTGCCTGTGATATAATGGACACTCAACCTGTGTGCCTCAAGACCCACCCCATTTCCTTAGCCTTTCCAATGGTGGGGCCCGTTCTTCCCCAAGTGTGACTCACTAGTTCAACCCCCCCAGGAGACTTGGGTTTTAAATAAAGGAATTCCACTCTGGAAGGAAAAGGGGACAAAATAATAAACAGGTCTGTGAGTCATCCTGCTTTGCAAACTGCCCAAGAGGGTGAGGGCAGTGGTGACCTTAGTGGTAGGGGGTGACTGGGCCCTTTTTAGCTTCACAGGATCCTGTGTACCCCTCTTTATCCTTCTTGACCCAGATGAAGTTCATGCTTCCTAGCCCTTCCTGAAAATCTTAGTTCTTGAATCTGGAAGCCAGCAGAAGATTGTGTTATGTCCCTCTTAGAAAGACTTCCAGATGCATCTTCAGGATAAGGAGGTGGGTTCTGGGGCCAGAAAGGCATTAAAAATCTGAGCTTCAGAGCCCAGTAGTCCTGTGACCTTAAGCAATTTATTTGATCTCTGTTCCTCAGTTCCCTCCACCGTAAAATGTCAAAGGTACCTAGATTGAGAGCTGTGGTATGGTAGCAAACAGGTAAAGCACCGGCTTAGCATGTAGGAGGCCCTGGGTTCCATCTTCAGCACCAGAATAAAAAGGCACCTAGAGTGAATTAATTGTGCAGTCTCTTAAACAGAGCTTGGGCACATGGCCAGCATTTAATGAATTATTGTTGTCATTGTTATCATCATCCATTATCTCAATGATCTTCACTACCACCCTGGGGAGGGCAGAAGAATTAGGATCACACTCAATTTTAAAAAGAGTGCTGGGGGTATAGCTAAGTGGTAGAGCACCTCCCCAGCACACTAGAAGCCTTGGATTCTATCCCAGCACCAACAAGAAAGAAAGATCTGGGTGTGGTGGCACATGCCTAAAACTCCAGCAACTCAGGAGGTTGAGGCAGGAGAATCACAAGTTCAAAGCCAGCCTCAGCAACTTAGGCCCTGAGCAACTTAGACCCTGCCTCAAAAGAAAAAATAAGGGCAGGGGTTGTAGCTCAGTGGTAGAGCACTTACCTAGCATCTGTGAGGCACTGGTTTCAATTCTCAGCCCCACAAAAATAAAAATAAATAAAACAAAGGTATGGTGCCCATCTACTAAAAATAAATAAATAAAAGGGCTGGGGCCATTTGTGGTTGCACACGCCTGTAATCCCAGTGGCTCTGGAGGCTGAAGCAGGAGGACCACAAGTTCAAAGCCAGCCTAAGCAACTTAGCAAGACCTTAAACAACTCAGTGAGACTCTGACACTAAATAAAATACAAAACAGGGCTGGGGATGTGGCTCAGTGGTTAAGCGACCCTGGGTTCAATCCCCAGTACAAAAAAAAAAAAAAAAAAAAGGGCTGGGGATGTGGCTCAGGGGCAAAGCACCCCAGTTTCAACCTCTAGTCTCCCCTGGAAAAAGGAAGAAAGGAGACCAAGGAAACTCACACTGGATCTCATGCCCATGTAAAGCCGCATGCAGAACCAGGAATCTGTCTGACCCTGAAAGCACAAAACACCACCTTGGCCCCTCCCATCCAGAGTTACTGGGCAAGGAAGACACACAGTCCAGTCAACACATAGTGATTCAGAGGTTTATTTACAAGAATAGAAGAACCTGGCTCTACCTGGAGCCTTGTTGAGTTATATACAGGGTGAGGGGAGAGGGAGATAGGGGCACAGCCATTTAAATTATGATAGAATAGGGGTCCTAAGTTCTGGCATGAGTGGGTTCAGTCATCTGTAGGGATCAGGCCTGAGGCTGTAGAGAAAAGGGAGGAAGACGTCACAGTGTGGATGGAACAAGGGGAGGGAAACAGGGAAAAGGTCTGGGAAGATGCTGGAAGGGCAGGGTGAGGCTCCAGCCACCCCATTCATCCTTGGAGACAGGGGAGTGGGCGGGGGAGGAGTCAGGGAGGAGTCCACACAGAAGGGGCCGTACCATGGCCACCTCTGGATGGTGCCCAGCTCACTTCCTCTTGAGGGAACCCTTGCTCTTCTCCTTGTCTGCTGACCGCTGTTTCTTCACTTTCTCCTCCTTCTTGTTCTTACTGTGCAAGTTCTCATACACATCCTCCTTGTGTCTGTGGTAGGGGTGGACATATAAGGGCAGTGGATGTGGTTCAGGAGAGTGCAGGGTGATTTGGCACCCACAGCCCCCTCCAGTCACCCCATCTCACAAGTGAGCAAACTGAAGCCAGGTAAGCAAGGGGACCTGGTCACTGTCCCTTCACTGCTCCCATGGGAGCAAAGAACACATCTCATACATTGTTGGCACCTGGCACAAGCCCACACATGGTGGGCACTTAGGAAATACTTATGCACAGAGGTAGTGAAAACCAAGCCTGAACTTCAACCCAAGTGTTTCCAACTGCAACACTTGTCCTCTCCAGAGACGGAGGCTCAAGCTGAGCAGGAGAATGGAGAAGATGCTAGGAAGTGGTAGGGAGGGGTCACTCACTTGGAGGAAGTCCGGGAAGCTTTGGCATGGGCACTCCTCATGGCCGGTGGGTAGGTAATGTTCCCATATTCTGACTCCTGGCCCTTCTGGGACTGTGGGCAGAGGTATGGAGGGAAGGCAGTGATCCCAGTAGGGCCAGGTGACACCTACTCTCCCCTGTGACCCAAAGTGACCCCATTCTGCATGCACCTGAATGACTTCCAACTTCTTCTTGGTGGTTTCAATGAACTGGGCAATGGCCACGTAAATGAACTTGTACTGAGCCTCTGTTTGCACCATGCCTGAGCGCTGCGCCCGAACCATCTGGATTGTCTTCTGGATATCAATGTCACAGTCCAGACCTGGGTAAGGATAGTGGTTGGACCTCAGGCCTAGGTACAGGCAGAGGCCAAGAGGCTTCCCTGCACCCACCAGGCATGCCCACCTGCTCCCCCAGGTGCCCCTCACCCTTGGTGGAGATGCTCTCCATGAGCATGTCGATGACAATGATGGTGCCTGTGCGACCAATGCCCGCGCTACAGAGAGAAGGGGCAGCTATCAGAGGTCCAGCCAGCCCCTCCCCCAGAAGCAGGGAGCCATGGGCTCAGCCCCATCCCTGGCCAGGATGTAAAGAGCCTAAAGCTCCAGCCACTTGAGGTAATGTGCCCAGAGCCACTAGACAAGCCAATGCAGATGTGCCCCGCTCTGCACCCATGGTTCCACCTCAACTGAAGGATTCACTGGCAAGGGCCTGGGTTGCTGAGGTTGGGGCCTCCAGAGACATCCATCTCCCAGCACTTCACTCCTCTACATCCTGCTCCATCTCATTCCTGACTGCTGGCTGCCCCCACCCCTGGAGATCCAGGACCCCCCAGCTCCCACTATTGTCCTCAGGCAGTCTGGACCCTTCCCCATGCTGCCTTTTAAGAGTTACATTTGGCCAGGGGTATAGCTTCCCATGCAAAAGGCCTGGGTTCCAATCTCAGCACTGCAAAAACAAAAGGAGGGGGGGAGGGGAGAGTGAAATCTGCCTCTTCTTTCCGTGAGCTTCATTTCCCTTTTTCTTTAAACCCTGGCAGTAGGCTATGGGCAGCACTTGGGGCAGCAGGGTACAGGGACCACTGGGGTCAGCAGTGCAGTAGGACGTCTCCCTTCTCCTGCACACTCTGCCGGTGCCTGCTGTTGAGAAAACAGTCCCTGGTGACCTTGAGGCCCACCCATAGCTGGGCCCATCAGGCTGGTGCCCTGAGTCTAATTTCAAACCCAGATTGTCAAAAATAACCCCCCCTCACCCACTTCCTTCCTGTAATGTCTAAATAAAGACTTTGGGGATTTCAAGAATGGGGGAGCGGGTAGCAGTAGGAGGGGTAACTCTGGGGATGGACCTGTCTGTGGGAGGGCAGAAGGCAGAGCCTGGCTGAGACAGCATGGGGGTACCTCCACATTCAGCCCATCCTGTCCCAGAACAAACCATTGCTAGTAGGAAGGAGGAAGTCTGAGGCCCTAGAGGCTTGGGGTCACATGGAGGGAACAGGAAGGGAAGAGGACAAAGCAGGTTCCCATTTCACCCATTCCCTGGCCAACATGAGTTACTAAACTGTCAACAGCCCCCATTTTTGGAGGGTTTAGAGTATTCCAGATGTAGTGATAGGATGTCATTTAAGTCTCATGACAACCCTATGAGCCTGATTTTACAGACAAGAAATCTGAGCATCAGAAAAATTAAGTAATTTGCCCAAGAACACACAGCTGATAAATGAAGGAGCCAGAATTTAAATAAGCAGCCTTTGTCCAGGACTGCGTTATCTACTGCCTCCCGACATCCAGGCCAGGCCAATGGGGTAGGCTCGCTTGAGGAACGCCTGCTCCTCCTGGATGAACCTTATTTCTCTGTCTCAGCCAGTACAGGAACAAGTCTCCTCCATATGAACATAAGGATCTTCAGAGGAGCTCTGGGTGCATGGGCCCATCCCAAAGACCTAACCCACTGACACAACTCTGAGGCCAAGATGGGGGCATTGGCTGGGGAAGGGGGAAAAACAGTGAAGGTAAAGAAGCCCAAGTCCCCAGAGCTACAAATTGAAAAAGACAAGGGTCATGGAGTCATACTGATCCCAAATGGAAGGTAAAGAAGAAACTGGCTGAGGAGAACCAAGAAAAAACAGGCAGCCAGGACCCAGGTCTGCTGCACCAGTCCAGACTCTCCCACTGACCAGCTGGCGACTGGGTAAGTCACAGAGTTGGCTTCCTCATCTGTATCTGGCAGGGGTAGACCAGATGGCACCTCCAGGGAGGTCTCGGGGGAAGCATCCCCAGCCAGCAGTGGGACTGGTTGCAGCTAGATCCACCCACATGTCCAGAGCCAGGAGGGAACCCAGAGAGGCTGGGGCTGGGGGAGACAGTCAATGAGTTCGCAGCAGTGTAGGCACTTTCTTAGCTCTATTTGCTTCCCAGCTGTTATTTTTATTACCACTGTCGTTGCCGTTATTATTCTCACCTGCAATGCACAATGATGGGCCCTGCATGAGGCAGACTTTCCTGCCGCTGGTTGATCTGGTCCAGGAAGCTGAGGACACCCCCAGGCTCACTGGGGACCCCATGGTCAGGCCAGCTCAGGTACTGGTAGTGCCAGATCTCCCGAACCAGGTCCCCCTGGGTCAAGGACATGGGGTCAGTGCCCCCTGCTCCTATGTAACACCCCATCCTGCCTCATCCCACACACCCAGAAGAGAGAATGAGTCCAAGAAGGGGTTCTGGGAGTGTGCAGGGCCTGGTGACACTCACATTGTCCAGTGGGGAGACCTGTAAAGTACGGAGTTTGTATTCTGTTGTGTCATGCTCTCCACAGTTGACCACAGAGTAGGGTCCATAGACACGCTGAGTGCGTACCTCTGGCCAGTAGGGGACACATTTGTTCTGAAAATGGAGGAGAATGGGGAATGGAGAATGAGACACAAGAAGCAGAGCCCTGGGGCTGTTCTGGATTCCACTCTTAAGTCTTGAGTCCCTGATGCTGGCCCAGACATTGTTGAATGAATGGATGAGCTGGCTGAGGGTCAGAAGACCTGGGATCCAATCTCAGACCAGCTACCTATAGGCGGTGTGACCTGACCAGCCACTTGACCTTACGTTTCATTCAATACCCATTGAGGCTGTGTAAACTGGGCTAGAGTTACAACACAAGAAGCAGGATGCATATAGCTTAGTGGTAGAGAGTAGGTTTAGCATGTGGGTGGCCCTGGGTATTCTATTCCTAGCACTGCAAAAAAACAAAAATCAAGTAAGACACCATCCAAGCCCCGGTGCCCCTAGGAGCTCGCAGAAAGACAGGGGAACAGGGGAACAGTGTGCTGCTCAGGAGTGTGGCTGAGGAAGAGGTTAATTCTCCCTATGGGTTAGGGAGGCAATCCAAGATGGTGTCACAAGGAGGTAGCAGTTGAGTGGGTCCTCCAATATGAGACCTCTGCCAGGCAGAGGTCATATGAAAAGAGAAAGTAATTCCAGGCCAAAAAAAAAAAAAAAATGAGCTTGTGCAATTCATGGGTACCTGAAAGAGCCTGGCCTGTTTGGAGGCAGGTGTATTATAGGGAAGTATGGCAATTGGAGGGAAGCCACCAGGCCTTCAAATGTGACTTCATCCCAGAGGCAACTGGCAGCCATTGAGATTTCAAAGAGGAAACAACTTGATCCAGTTTGTTTTGGGATGGAATCATTTTGACTACGGCATAAAGGAGGAGTTTAGAGGGAGGGAGCAGGCTCCAGAGAGATTGGAAGTAGCACAGAGAGTAGACAGAGGGGCAGGGGAGGAAAAGGTAAGAGGGATGTTTGCCTTAGCACACATTAAGGAGAGCAGTTTTGTGTTTGTTTGTTTTGTTTTTTTGCAGTACTAGAGATTCAACCCTAGGCCTCACACATGCTAGAAAAGCATTCTAATTCCCAGCCCCTAAGGACAGTTTAAAGTCTGAGTCTCACATGATTTTATGTATCTGTGTGTGGTACTGAGCATTCAATCCAGGGCCTAAACATAATAGGCAAGTGTTCTACCATTGAGCTGCATCCCCCGTCCTTAAAGTCTGAGTCAAGAGCTCACAAGGGTCTAAGGTTAAAAGTAGGAGTCTGAAACTCTACAGTGTATAGTAGAGACTTTGTCTCTAGACTTCAATTTCCCAACAAGCATCTGACTCTTTCCCTTGAGACACTTTTCCACCCTTGAATCTAAACTTTCTTGGGTTTTATGGTGGTGAATAACAAGTACTATGGAGGGAATTTGGGGACTAGCATGATGGCACAGGGCTACGCCTACCCGGCCTTTCTCCACCTCTCGAGTGGTCATGACGATGACGCGGGTGTTTTCCTGCCATACCATCTGCCAGAAGTCATTGACTGTGGACTCCAGACAGCCCTGGCTGGCGATGTAGGTCTTAGAGTTCTCATCGGGGCTTAGCAGCTGATTCTGGATACAAGTGCAGAGAAACATAATCTAGGACTGTGAGCCCCATGGCCCGGACAGGCCCGTACCACTCCAGCCCTCCCCCACCCTAGACATCAGCTTTGGCTTTGCCCAGGTATTTCTGAATCCTGGAGCCCCCCACAGGACAGAGAACTCCCAGGGTCCAGCCTTTGCTCCCACATGACCCACACCACCAACCTTGACATAGTTGGCATTGATGTAGTCTGACCCAGGGATGTTACTGTCCCGTCCCTGCAAGATCACTCGGCTGTGGTCAACTGGACAGGAAAAAAATAGCTTGGGTCAGCCAAGGACTTACCACACGCTGGGCCACACCCTTCCTAAGCTAACAGGCCATTCTTGCCTCAAAGCCATGAGGCTCATAGGGGATTGCAGGTGGGCAGGTGATAGACCTGTCTGGGGTTTGAGAAAGAGGCTTCATAATGAAGGTGGCTGGGCATGATGGTACATGCCTGTAATTTCGGCAACTCAGGAGGCTGAAGCAGGAAGATCAAAGGTTCAAGGCCAGCCTCGGCAATTTAGTAAAACCCTGTCTCTAAAGAAAAAGTAGGAAGGTCTGGGGATGCAGTTCAGTGATAATGTGTCCCTGGGTTTAATTCCCAATACCACAAATAAATAATTATTAATTTTAAATTGTAAAAAAAGGTTGGCTATATAGCTCAGTGGTAGAGCACCCCAGGGTTCAATCGCCATATCATAAAAAAGGAGGATGGTGGTAGCTGGAGGCAATCTGCTTATGCAGAGGCTCTTGGGAAAAGAGGCTTCTTAGAGGAAGATGAACTGTGCTGGGGTGGGCAAGTGGACCCTCTGAGTGGAGGTAGACATTCAGGGAGGTTGGCTCAGGAAGGAGCAGTCTTGTGGTGAGTGGCAACTGCCTGGAACTTACAGGGGAGAATGTTCTTATATCGGTTCTTGCTCTTGTTCTCTGGCCGCTGTCCTTCCAGCCGCTGGTGCAAGTTCTTCACCTCCTGCTTCTGTAAACTCTGAGAGGTGAGAATAGGAAATGAGCACCGGCCTGAGAGGGTGACTGGTGGTAGAGATGCTATGGGGGCAGATCAGAATTGGAGGTGCCTAAAGAAGACAAGGGACACCTGGGACCCCACACCAGGTGACTGCCCCACCCCCCGCTGCCATATCCCATCCCTGCTGTTCTCATTGCACACCTCAAACTCTTCCCAGAAGCCAGCCTTGGCTGTGTCCTCTGACTCCTGCTTCTTATTCAGTTCCAAGACCCGGTTCTCAATGTCAGCCGCGTTCACCCGAGTGGCATAGTAAGGCTGGGGTTGGTGAGGGTAAGAAGTCAGCAACTTAGAGATCTCAGAATCCGTGCCAGGGGATGGTCAGAGGAAGAAAGGAGACAGCAGGGTCTGCCCCCTCACCTGCCGCAGGTAGACGAAAGCTCCTGAGGCCTCCTCAATTCCTGTTTTTTTGAAATGCTCCACCAGGTCTGTTAGGCTGTCAAAGGTCTCTGTGCCACCCACAGTGTAGCGTCCACCCTGAGAGGCATCAAGTAGGATCAACCCTCAGGGCCTGGGTCTACCTGCCCGGACCCATAGCCTAGGATACAAGCCCAGGCAGTCCCTCCCCACAGCCCAGGCCCTGGACACAGACAGGAGCTCCAGCATGATGCCTCTCCCACTGCCTTACCTCACACATGACCTTGATGTGAGTGACCCTAAGTGGGGAGCCCGGGCCGGCCTTGGGCTGGTCGCTGAGCACGGACAGCACAAAATCACCAGGCTGGCTGAGACTCTCACGCACAAGAAATGTCCAGGGTTCGCCCTTGGCCTGCAGCAGTGCCTCTGCCTGTCCTCCAGACATGTGGCCATGGTACCACCTAGAGAAGGAAGCATGAAGGAAGGAGGGCCCCAAGAGAAGGTAGAGCAGAGTATTCAAAGCTTGGGTGAGGGGATCAGTACCCACTACCCTCTACGTGCCCAGGCCCTGTGCTAGGTGCTTTTAAAACCACCACTATATTTGGATTTGTTACCATCCCACAAAAATGCGGAGAGGAAAAAGCCAGGTGTCCCATGCCTGTAGTCCCAAATGCTCAGAAGGCTGAGGCAGGAGGATAGAGAGTTCAAGGTCAGCCTCAGCAACATAGCAAGACTTTCTCAAAAATAAGAATGTTCACAAGTAGCATTTATCCCCATTTTATAGATGAGGAAACTGAGGCTGAACATTTGGAAACTGGCCCCAGACCCTTAATTGATAAGAGTCAAACCTCAAGAACTCTAACCACAGAGTAGGACATGGTGGCACATGCCTATAATCCCAGCAACCCAAGAGGCTGAGTCAGGAGGATTGCAAATTGGAGGTCAGCCTCAGCAATTTAGCCAGACCCTGTCTCAAAATAAAATAAATAGGTCTGTAGCACAGTGGTAGAATGTGTACTCAGCATGCACAAGGCCCTGGATTCAACCCCTAACACCAAAAGAAAAAAATAACAAAGAGATTCAAAATCAGACTTTGAATCCATAGTCCACCTCTGAAAGTTTCAGACAGACAGAAAGGCAGGAGGCAGTATCCAGAATAGTTAGAGGGATGAAACCAAGGAAGCACCCCCATGAAACATGGGGGAGACCAAAGTCAGAAAGGAGAACTCCCCCGGGGAAGTGGGGATCACAAACACCCTTGGAGAGAGGGGTGTAGGAGCTGGAGGGTACCCAGGATGATGTCACTGCAGCGGAGGCCAGGCTTAAAAGGGCTCAAAGGGGCCATCGAGGCAGAAAGCAGAACTAAGGCCTTTCCCCGAAGTACAACCCCTTCCCAGGAGGAAACTGCAGCCCCACAATGCCCAGCCCCACAGGAAACCACGTGATGGAAAAAACACAAAACTCCTTCTGGGGAGAGAGTGAGAAGTGAGGTTGTGAGGTTTCCTCAGCCCAGGGACAGGGGAAGGGGGGCCATTTTCCAACCGCAGGGATGGGGGAAGGAAGGAGGGGGCCAGTCTGTCCTGACCCGTCTCACCCCTGCCCAGAGAGCACTACAGCTCAGAGACATCCAGGGTCTCCAGTCCAGCACAAGCACCCCGGGAATACCACACCACCCTTCAGAGACAGGCCAGAGCCCTCCCCCAGGCAATGGGGAGGGGGCTAAGCCCCTTCCCTCAGGGCCCAGGATGAGGAAGTCCCCATGCAAATGTCAAGCTGACCACAGTCAGAGAGCACGCAATTAAGGGGACAAATGCAAATTCCCACAGAAGAGGAGGATGTGCAGCTAATGGCAGGGAACACAAACAGAAGTTTGGAGAAAAAGCCTCCCACATGCTGCCAGGGTCAGGCTTCCTAGCTCAGGTAAACGAAAGTACCCCTGAGAGTCACCTGTCCTTATCCTTGCCCACCTCAGCTCTGCCCCCACTTCCCTCCTTTGCTTCTCCCAAACTCTTCAAAGCCAGGCCTCAGCCTGCTGTCCTGGGTACCTTGGCAGCTCCACCTTCCTCCTTCAACCCACCCAACACCATCTCCTGCTCCTCTATAGCAGCCAGCCTTCTCCTTCGCAGAAGAGAGGGCATGGGGAGCGAAAGAGGGTCTGAGTGTCCAAACCCCCGTGAGAGCCGCAGGTAGCAGGTAGGGGCTTGCAGGAAAGAGTAAAGAGGGTGACCATGAGTAGATCAACAGAAATCCACTTCCAGGCTTTGCTACTAGAAGAGAAAGCGCTTCAATGACTTTATATTGATTGCAAGGAGATCTCTAGAGGTGGGCCATGGCTTTTACCTCATTTCACCTTAACTTTATCCAGTTCTTTCTTTTTCTTTTTTTGGAAATACTGGGAGTCAAACCCAGGGCCTCATGCTTGCTAGTCAAGCATTCCACCCCTGAACTACATCACCAGCCCTTTATATTTTTTTATTTTGAGATAGAGTCTCACTAAGTTGCTGAGACTGCCCTTGAATTTCTGATTCTCCTGCCTCAGCCTCCCAAGTCTCTAGGATTACAGGCATGTGCCCTAGTGGCCAGCTATTTCTAAGATTTAATCAATGACTTGAACAAAAATAAAAAATATTTGTCTTCCTTTCTTTTTTTCTTTTTCTTTTTTTTTTGGGGGGGGGTACCACATTGATTGCACTTAACCTCTGAGCCACATCCTTAGCCCATTTTTATTTTTTACTTTGAGACAAGGTCTCACTAAATTGCTTAGGACCCTGCTAAATGGCTAAGCCTGGCTTTAAACTTTCGATCCTTCTGCCTCAGCCTCCAGAGCTGCTGGGATTACAAGCATGCACCACAATGTCTGGCTTTAACAAAAACAAAACAAAACAAAATGTGTATGTATATATATATACATATATATATATATATATATATATATATATTTTTTTTTTTTTTTTTTTTTTTTTTTTTTTTTTTTTGGTTACCAGAGATTGAACTCAGGGACATACAACCACTGAGCCGCATCCCCAGCCCTATTTTGTATTTTATTTAGAGACAGGGTCTCACTGAGTTGTTTATCATCTCACTTTTTGCTGAGGCTGGCTTTGAACTCTCAATCCTCCTGCCCAGCCTCTTGAGCAGCTGGAATTATAGGAGTGCACCACTGCGCCTGGCTTTTAACAAAAATATTGATACAAGTATGTAGGCACTGAATCTCAAAACAACGGAAAACTTAAGCGGGCAACTCAACGGTAGAGCTCATGCTTGGTATAAAGGCCCTGGGTTTGATTCCCAGTACTGGAAAAAAAAAAAAGACTAAAAACTGCAGGATCAAGGTTCAAAATCACTTCAACAATCAATACACAAATACAGGACAAGGGTAAGTTGGTCTGGCCCTAGGAGTCCATGGGATAAAAAGCCTAGGTTTATTCTGCTGCCCTTTACCTTAACAGACTCTGTTATTGAGATGTAACAGCTAAAATGAGCCATGGTAGGACTGAGGTTGTAGCTCAGTGGTAGAGCGCTTGCCTAGCATGTGTGAGGCACTGGGTTCGATCCTCAGCACCACATATGAATGAACAAATAAAGTAAAAAATCCATTGGCAACTAAAAAATTATATATATATAATTTTTAAAAGTGAGCCATGAGGGCTGGGGATGTGGCTCAAGAGGTAGCATGCTTGTCTGGCTCGCCTTCTCTCTCTTTAAAAAAAAAAAGTGAGCCATGAATTTTAAAAAGTGAGCCATGGTGTAATGAGGAACATTTATGTTCCCCCTCCCCTCACCCATGCTTTGGGAGAACCACATATGATAGTCAGCCCAGTTATAGGGGCTACACCTTTGTAGCAAAAGTGTGGAGGAGCTGTTTTGAGTATTACTCTATGTCTAGAACATTACACCCTGTTTTCAATTACCTATGTTTGGGCCAAAGGACTGGCCAAACTCTATCCAGTCCCAAAGGATAAACCTACCCTCAAGGGGTTGCAGACAAAAAGCACTGAGTGTCCTAATGAAAGTGAATTGAGTGACCATCCTCAACATCAACATCTCCTTATACTAAGCAGGCTGGAGCAGGGAAGTTGTAGGAAAGCAGATTCAGCTCCATAGAAGGAAGAGCTTTCTAGAAATAGAGCTGACCTGCTAGGAAATGCCAGCCATGAGGAGTGGCCTCCCTGTCAGTCAGGACTGAGTTGCCAGGTGAGAGGGACCCTGGAGAAAGGCAAGGTAGACCTCTCTTGCTTCCTCAGGGGCACAGGGGAGGGGGTTAGTCTTATGAGTCACTAGGACATGAGGAAAGACTCTCAGAACCCTGAGATGGAGCAGGATGGGGAAGGGATTGCAAGCAGACGGTGCCAGGGGACCAGGTAGGAGAAGGCAGCTGCCTCCATAGGGGAGAGGGTCAGGCTGGGTGCCCCTCACCTCTCACTGGTGGGGTCGGAGCAGTTAAGTGGGTACTTGAGGTGGATGATGGTACCATCGCGGTCCTGCAGGACGCCCTGCTGATGGGTGTAGTACTCCACCAACTCGGTCAGCGTTGCAAACTTCTCCCCTCCGTACAGGTCGTAGAAATCCCCTGAGTTCTGGATCCGAATATGGGTCACCTGATCCCCCACCCTGCAGGGCAACAGGCAGTGAGGCCAGTGGGTGCAGGAGCAGAGGTGGGGTTGGGTGGGGGACAGGCTGGGGGTCCCGAGTTTGAGGCACACAAAGGCAAGGGATGGACACAGACAGGGATAGGAATGGGCTGGGGTTAGGGACAAGGATACGAAGGAGGCCTAGGGCCTGGGGAATCGGCACTGCCCTGGAGAACCAGGAAGGAGTGCTCAGAGGCTGAACTGGCACAAAAAAACTGCCAAAACACTGGAGGGTCACTTACCTGACAGAGAGAGAGAAGTCACCCTGGTTCTTGCGACTAGGCCGAGCCAGGAAGCTCCCATGGACCCCTCGGCCCTTGAGTAGGGTCTCTGCATCCAGTCCGCTAAGGTCTCGGTGAAACCACCTGAAAGGTCCCCCACAGAGTATGAGGAGAGGTCCCTTGGGCCCCAGGGCTCCCTTGCCTCTTGCCTTCTGTGGGTTCCAGGCCCTTACCTCACCATCCTGGGGGCTCCAGAGAGGAAGGGGGTACAGGGAATTGGGAGGTGCCACCTGTCTGCGCAGGCGGAAAACTCTGGGGCTATCCTCAATCGTGGTCCTCAGCGTCCTAGCCACCTGGCCACCTGACCCCCCAGCAGTCCTGGTTCTGGGGCTGCCACTCCACTGGCCTGGGGCAACAGGGCGGGGACAGGAAGGGGCGCGGCCGACCCCTTGGGGGAACTCACTTGTACTTCTCTTTTCAGAACAGAGCAAGGGAGAAGCAAGAGGGTGGCAGGGCCGGGGGAGGGGCCCACTTCCCACGCGTCTGCCGTCTAAGGCTCAGGAGCACGGCACTGGGCACTGAGCATACGTGAAAACTCAAGAGATAAGGACACACATGTGCCTTGGACCCTCCAGTCCAAGATAATGACTCACACACGTGACTTCCCACAATTCCACATCATTTCTGCCTCCTCCACCAGCTGCTTCTACACAGCCTTTGCTGGCACAAGTTAATAATAATGGTGACAGTGACAACTATCATCTAATGGAGTGTTACTACACACCAGACTCTAGTAAAACATTTTTCACATGCCTTTTGTGAATTATTCCTCACCTCAGCCCTATGACCCTACTACCATCTTTATCCCCATTTTACAGACAAGGAAACTGAGGCTCAGGGAGTTTAAGGGGCCATACAATTAGTAAATGGTAGTTCCAACCAATGATTTTAATAATATGCCAGCCCTCAGGGCCTCAAAGAACAGAAGTTGAGAGACCCCATGTCTAAAGTCACTGCCTTGGGAGAGGACAACTCCCTAACAGCAAAACCTTGCAGAAGCTTAAGAGAGGGAAGGGTGCCCTCCTGCACCTATCACACCTCTGAAGGAACAGACAACACGAGCCCTGAAAAGCCCTGTCAAACTTGAGCCTTGTCTACTTCCAGTCCCTAGGCCTTTGCCCTGTCCCAGGACTCAGAGCAGTCGCTTGTCTCCTGGGGTCAATCTCCCTGCCATGGCAGACATTCTCAGGACTGGTTGACAATTGAAGCTATAAGAACTGAAAGTTTGGTCTGGGGTGGTGGCTCAGTGGTGCAGCACTTGCCTAGCAGGTGTGAGGCACTCGGTTCAATTCTCAGCACCACATATAAATAAATAAAATAAAGGTCCGTCAACAACAACAAAAAAAAAATTTTAAAGAAAAGAATTAAAAGTTTGTCTATACATGAAATCCCAAGTACAAACACAAACACCATCAAGTCAAGACCAGAGGCAAGTTGCTCAACAAAGGACACAAAGAAACCCCTATTGGTAGATTCCCTAGGGACAGAGGTGGGAGGGATCACATATTGTCATTACACCTTTACTTAAATTTTAATTTTTACAGCACCAGGCACTGAACCCAGGGCCTTGTACATCCCAAACAAATGGTCTGCCTCTGAGTTATATCCCCAGCCCTTTTCTTTGTTTTATTTATTTATTTAGAAACAGAGTCTCATTAACTCATTAAGTTGGTAAGACTGGCTTGTGATCCTCCTTTTGCACCTCAGCTTGCTGCGTAACTGGGATCCTTACACCTTTCTGAATGTTGTAAGGGGCTAAGATTGTACTCAGCAGTAGAGCACTTGCCTGGCATGTGTGAGGTCCTGGGTTCCATCCCAGAACCACACACACAAATGTTGTATAGTGGTTATGTGTGACCTTTATAAAAATATATTTATATATTTATATTTATTTTTATAAAGGTCACACATAACCACTATACAACTCTCTCCCACCACTATAAACTGACTGGGAGAGAGTAATTTCTAGGAAACTTTTTAGGGGTGCTGGGAACACTTTTTCTCCATCTGGACAGTATTTACGTAAGTACATTTAAATGTCAAGTTAAGCTAGGAGTATAGGTCAATGGCAAAGCACATACTTAGCATGTGTAAGGTCCTGGGATCCATTCTTAGCCCCAAAATAAATAAGTTAATAAATAAGTGTGAAATTAATCAGGTAGGCTTAATATTTTATTCATTATGCATGTGATAACTCAACAAAAAATAAGAGAAATAGCAGGGCACAGTGGTGCAACTCGGGAGGCTGAGTCAGGAAGATCATGAGTTCAAACCTAGCCTCAGCAACTTAGAGAGGCCCTAAGCCACTCAGTGAGACCCTGACTCTAATAAAATATTTAAAAGGGCTGGGGATGTGGCTCAGTGGTTAAGTGCCCTTGGGTTCAATCCCTGGTACCCAAAAGGAGAGACAGAGAGAGAGAGATAAATAACAAAGTGGTAAAGCCCAACACAGTCCGAGGGTGTCACTCAGTGGTACAGTGCTTATCTAGTATGCATAAGATGCTTGGTTTCATCCTCAGCACTGAAAAAAAAAAGAGTGTAATATCCCTATGACAGCATTCATTTTATCACTTTTGAAAACATTACTCAAGTATAATTTTTCCAAAAAAAAATTTAAATTGTTTTCTCTTTTTTTTTTTTTTTTTGTACCAGGGATTGAACTCAGGGGCACTTAACCATTGAGCCACAAGCCCTTTTTTTAAAATTTTATTTAGAAACAGCAACTCTCACTGAGTTGCTTAGCACCTTGCTAAATTGCTGAAGCTGGCTTTGAGCTTGGGATCCTCCTGCCTCAGCCTCCTGAGCCACTGGGATTAGAGCCTGGTTTAACCTTTTTGGTATTTCTCTCTTATGGCTGTTCTTGGGAAGTTGCTTGGTCAATTTGTCACATGGTTCAACTTTGACTACACTTTCAGTTGAGACATTAAACCCTGAAAGATCTGGAACTCCCATGGACTCTGCCCACACCAAGAGGTAGGAAGAATCTGTACAAAGTTGGTTCCACCAACTTTGGAGAGAAACCACTGACTGACATCCTAGCTTGCCTCTCCCAACATTCAGAGCCTAGCACAGTGCCTGGCACAGAGAATGTGTCCAGTGAACAAACACATCAATACATGTGCACAGACAAGGTCACAAGTATATCTTCTTGGTCCCAAACACACCTTACTTGGTCTCTACAGATGAGTGCACACAAGAGCACACCACTTCCGTGTGCACAGTCCCACCAGACCCACTTCATGATCCAGGCGCATCCACAAATATATCTACTCTGGGGCAAAATCCCAACATGGACACACAATTCTGATTACAAACTAAATTTCAGGTGCATGCTCAGCATCAAATACCCATTACACCCAAACATTCTCCCTCCAAGGTTAAATCCACCTGGTGGCAAGGAACAAACTAGGAACCCAAAACTCCTGATCCATGGAAGAGGTAGGAATTTCTTCCAGGGGTATCAAGCCAGAAGACAGACTGATACTCAGATGAAATTCAGAGTCCCTCCTGGGCACAGTGGTGCAAGCATGTAATGCAAGCAATTTAGTAGGCTGAGGCAGGAGGACCAAAAGGTCAAGGCCAATCTCAACAATTTAGCAAGGTTCTGTCTCAAAATAAAATAAAAAAGAACAAGCACATACCTCAGTAGTAGAGCTAGTTAAGTGTGAGACCCTCAGCTCAATTCCCAGGACAAATGAAAAACAAAACAGCTGGGCACAGTAGTGCATGGCTATAATCCCAGCATTTTGGGAGGTTGAGGCAGGAGGATCATAGGTTCAAAGCCAGCCTCAGCAACTGAGCAAGGCCTAAAAAACTCAGTGAGACCTTGTCTCTAAATAAAATATGAAAAAGGGCTGGGGATGTGGTTCAGTATTTAAGTGCCTCTGGGTTCAATCCCCAGTACCAAAAAGAAAACCAACCAATGGAAAAAAAAAAAGGACTGGGGATGTGGCTCAAGCGGTAGC